ACTATACATACTATATATGCACACATAAACATTATTGAATACATTACATGCGATGAAAAATATATACATTTAGGTATTTATAATTGATTCTATTTAGACAATCTTCTTAAGTAATGTCTTAAGATGCTAATACAACTTTGTGATTGGCTTGTGACATCTTAAGACAGTTTTAAACATAAGAACCGACTATAAAGTATGAATACCGGTCTTAATGTTTCTTCAATAAAAAAAAAATAAATAACCCATAGCGGTACTGCATGTCAAAACGAATAAATCTTCTTTGATGTTTTCTGTCATATCATCGAAAGAGACAGATGCTCAAGTTAGAGGAAACATTCTGTACACATATAGCTTTCTTTAAATCTTACGCGCAACCGCCGCCCATTTCGAAGTTAATCTTCGGATAATCTCGAAAATGCAATTATTTGTACTCGATACATTCGTACGACATGTAGCCCGGATCCGATGGACCGAAAACGGACGAAAATGGACGAAAACCACACTTGTCAGTTGCGTTTGGAAAGCAACAGGTCAACTGGCGAGCCGGTTCCTATTTGCAGAGGAATCACCGCGATATTTCCCGTTTCGTTGGTCCCAGAAATGCTCATGGAGTGGATCATTGGGTCTGGTCAGTGACGAGGGAACGCGTGACGTGGCTGTCAACCCGAAACCCGCGATCAACCCTCTTGCCGCCCGCGCGCGCGCGCGCATCGAGAACGATTTCGAGAACCGATAGAATGCCGAGCGAGACGACAAGGCTGGCCGTCGACTTCTTCTACCTGCTGCACTTTAAACTCACACCCGAAGTTCCTACGTACGGGAGAAAGATCGAGTTTGACAAAACATACACAACATGCACGTCGCAAGGCGTCGGTCGAAGTTTTAGCATAACAACCTATGGACTACGTCGCTGAACAACATCTCTTGGCAATCGGTCTTCTCTTTTTTTCACAATTTCTTATGGGCTTTCTACAATAAGCTATTATCTAAGTCTTAAATCTTAAGCTGTAAGAAATTGATCAATTACAGTCGAATGTGAGAAGAATAATGGATTATGACTGGTCGATTTCTTAAGGCTTAGCCTAATATTTCATGTGTCGTAAGACAACTTTTTAAACGTGTGATTGGCTGCAAGACAGAGAGATCCGAGAACCCCTCTCTTCTGCCAATCAACAGGCTTGAAAAGTATTGTCATACGACACGTGAAATATCAGCTTTAAGGTTTAGAATTAGATAATGGATTCCTGTAGAAAGCCCATTAAAATTTTTAAATTCAGACAATAGAAAGGATAATAAAAAGTAACTATTTTTCGCGAATCACGCGTAGATACGTGCATCACGGTTGGCAATCGTCAGCTGTATTTGAGCGTTCTCGGAATTTTTTGCCAGAAATAAAAGGTTTAAATTGGGAAACATTGGCACACGGGCTGGCAGTCGCATCGGCAACGACGACGGCAGCGCAGACACAAGTTGAAACATCAAGCGGGAAACGAGTCCTGGCGCGATGGCGAGAAAAAACGTACGCGACGCGCGCATACACGCCGGACGAAAGAATGAAATTCTCTGATCGATCCATCGATCGATCGAGCAGACGGACGGAAAGGGACGAAATGAACGAGCGGAGGAGAGCAGGGAACGAATGAGGAGAG